TTTATCTCCAAAGCTACTATATATAGGATTGTATCCAGTCATTCATAAGTATTAAAAAAAATGAAATCTAAGAATATCAAGATACAAAACCAAAGATGACATGAAATTTTTTTTTCCCTTCAACAATGCATTATGATGGGTTTGTACATCTCTTTGGTGATATTAACAACTACTTTCTGATTGAATTCAAACATAATTTTTAAAAATAGAGATGGTTATGAGTTTCGAGCTAGATTTCACATTTTTATGCATCTTTTGCAACATGCATCCGAAACAAAATAAAATTCTACAGTTAAGAAACAACAGAAATGACTAACAAATTCAGTTTTGAGAAAAGATGATATATAAACTCAAAATGAGTCTAATAACTCAGAACAAGAACTCCAAATTTCAAGAAGAAGAAGCATGTTCATGGTTGCTTTTGTTTTCCAGATACTACAGAAACTGAAAATATGACTGATCTAGAAAGAAAGACAACTGAAAAATATAAAATTACTCTCAAGGGAAAGGAAAACAAAAAGAAACGTTGTATTTGATGTATTGTATTTTTAACGCATTCTAACGCAAATCGTGTTTCAATATTAAGAAAAAATCATCGTTTTCTAAAATATTTGTTTCTAGTTATAATCACTGAGCTTGCGGGCAGTTTTCCATCGAACCATAGGGACTCAGAGGGTGATCTATATACCGTTGTGTAGATCTCTCTGTCTAGTTTTCAGAACAGTTTTCCGATCCAGTTTCTGATCTATGGTTACTGAGATAATTGATCTTGAATCAGGTGAGTACGTGACCATGGTCTTTACGGTATTTGGGGGTCATAATTGCTTGTTTGGGATGTTTTTAGTGTTTAGATCGACGTAAGTGTCGCGGAATTTGGTTGACTTCTTAGGTTGCTTTATGTGTTGATTTTTTGTTTGATTGATCGTTTGGTGTTATGGTATCTGTTGGGGTCGGTTTTCACCCGCTCAACATTAACGTTCAAAGAGTGGGCTCTCGACCATAGCCTCAGAACTGAGCACGTGCTCGGGTCGATAGCGGAGCCGACCACGGCTTCAGAACCAAGCACGTGCTCGGGTCGATAGCGGAGCCGACCACGGCTTTAGAACCGAGCACGTGCTTGGATTGACTGAGGAGCCGACCACGGCCTCAGAGCCGAGCACGTGCTCGGGTCCTCGATGGTCCGATCACATCCTTGCACCAGCAGCCCAATAACATGAAGGTGACCCGATGGCAGCTCAGTTGTCCAAAGCCCTGCCCAGACGCGAAGCCCACTTTGATACAACCGACGTTAGCAAAACTAGACTTGACAAAGTGGACGTCACATCATAGCTCGCTAGGGTTAAATAATTAAAACTACACTACAATATGTCAAAATATCACTTTTTGCAAAAAAAAAAACTAAACCTTAAGTGTGGAGAGTCTAACAAACCAAACAAACCTATGGTTTGATTCGGCTAAGCTAAAGTTAAATCTAGCTCATATATATGTAGTTTTCGGTTAGTTTTGGAGTGTTTTTGTATTATCACGGCGCGCATATCTTTCTCATACAACTCTGTACCAGCTTTATATCTTGTTATATCCTATCAATATTTTGATTGATACGTCCTTATATTCAAACTTTATTGACTCACCTCTTTTGCAAAAATCATTTTTTACAAATTCAAAAGAACTAAACCCCAAAAAAAGAGACTTAGCCTTCACAAACTAAACAAAAATATGGTTTTATCTAGTTCACCTATAGTAAAATCTGGGTTAACTTTGCCGTTGTGGTTTGAGGGTGAAGCGGGTGGTGCCCTATTAGTTTTGAAGTATGTTTTTATTGCACGTCACGCCTATCCTTTATCATATAATTTTGTACCATCATTTATATCTTGTTGTAGCCTACTATTATTTTGATTTATACGATTTTATATTCAAACTTTATAGATTCACCATCTTAATTAACGTGAAGGGAACTCTATAAACTCTGTTTGACTATTAAAGGAAATTGTTCGGATGTAACGATGAAGAAAAAAAAATACTAATTTCATTCGAGTTTTAGTAATCATATTACA